TGCGCGCGTTCATAAAAATATGAAACATGCAAGAATTCTGCCGCTTGTAAAGAACATTATAAGTCAGTGACTGTTTGTTTCCTGTCAATTCAGTAGAAAGGAGTGACGTCATTTAATCACGTGATGATACCTGTTCAGCTACTCATTAAGTTCTAAGATTAGTTTTCAAAAACGCATGGTAGAATTACTCCGCCCGAGTGGTACCGAAAGGTCATTTCATGGAACATAACGATTATACTTTGCTTGTATATAGTTTTGGTAAACATATTCTTCATGATGATAGAAAAGTCGGCGATTACGCGCTAAGGAAAAGCGTACCATGAACATGACCTCTTGCATGACTGCCTTTCAACGGTTCGCATCGCTTTTTTTTTTTTTTCGTTTTTCTGCTACCGACAGCGGACTGACCTTTTTGGAAGATTAAGCTTCTCTTATCAGAACAGTTACCCCAATACTTTCACGAGTATCTCCCGAATGAACCAACACACGAACGAACAGGATGGTACTTAAAGCTTCCGGTCATTACTTGATCTTTGACTGCGAAAACCAAAACAGGAACTTTGGTGAAGTTTCAAATCAAGGTCAAAATCGGTTAAAAAAATAACTAAAATCACACATTTCAGAGAAACCTCAACGATACCAAAAACTCAAAAGAGAGTACATGACATGATTACATCGGGCAAGGACATCATGATTCAAGTTAGAGGAATTTGCTATCAATCTAAGAAACTCATTTTGATCTGCAATAACCTTAAACTTTGAATTGAGATTCTAGCTAAATACGTGAACACAAATTACTAAATCATAACCAAGTAACTAATAATCTAGAGTCCTAATTCGGTTTGAAGTGTGGCAAAAGGTCTAGTTCGCTTCTTCGGTTTGTTTGCTTATTCATTCTGTTTTCTTTCAAAAAAGTTTCCTTGTCGCTCAACCAATCTAACAAAACACTTAAACCAAGCTTTGCTTGCACCACTTATCCCGACCTTCACGTACTTTAATCAGTTTCAATCTGGTTTAAGTGCATCTGTTGTACAGTTCAGGAGAATAATTAATGGAAATGGTTTATGAAAATTATCAATGAGAGAAAGGGATTAATTTCTAAAAGATACCCTAAATCCTCTTCGTTCCAAACAACCCAAACAGACAATTAACATCGAAAGACCAAGTCACGAAAGAGAAAATTATATCTCAAACTTGATGGTAATTATGATTTGCTTCACTTAATGTATTGTCTTCTACACGCACGACAGCCATTTCGAATCTTATGCAGTCACACCCCTTCACGTTATTCTGACCAGCTTGAGCAATTCTGATTTGTTTTCGAAGACCGGGAGAAGATAAAAAGGAAAGGCCATGAATAAGAAAAAAAATATGAAAGCTTTGATAGTCGTCATCTTACGCATTGCATTGAGAAAGACAGGAAGTACTTCAGTACATTTTTAAGTGGGTTCAAAACTTCATACCTTGTTCAAAGTCATGAACATTGTAGGAATGGAACTAAAAGACATGTTTTAAATGTGAATTTCAAAACTCGAGACCTTTGGGAACAAAAGGACAATGTACTACTGATAGATCTAGCCAAAGAGTTTCTCTGGCACCCCATGGCATGTGTGACCTTATAAGAAACGTGCTAGAGTGCGGAAAATAGAGACCGGTCGTGCAGGAAACCAAATCTATCCCACAATCGGCAATTGCTTCATGCGTCTCCGTGCGCAAATAAAAATATGAAACGTGCAAGAATTTTGGAAAACAGAAAAACATGAGAGTGTTTCTGGCAATGTAGCTGTGACTTCCCCGGTCCTTTGCGTAACCAATACGGCACAACACACTTAATATTAACAATTGTTTCATGCGCTAGCGAGCACTTATCAAGATTTGGTTATTGTTTTTTTTTCGGTTTTTCGGTTTTAGTGCCTGTGTTCATCGCACTTTGTGGATTTTCCGAATTTTAGCATTTGGTTTTCGGTTTTCGTAAAAAATACTTATGGGATTTCGGATTTGGTATCTGATGTGGTTTTCGGTTTTTCCTATTTGGAAATCCGGTTTTTCCTCGATCTGAGCGGCAGTTTTGCGAAAAGTGTCTTGTTTTTTTATTACAGCAAATGAATCAGTACATGTGACTTTAAGGAAAGGAAATTGCATAAAATATCACGAAACGAGCGTGTGAGTGGTCGCGCGGGAGAGATTTCGAAAGAAATCGGCAAAATTACCTCTGAACCTTCAGCTTTTTTCTCTCAGATATGAGTTCTCGCTACTCTCGACCTACCAACATGGCCAAACTCTAGTGGATCTTTTAGTTTCTCAAAGGAATTTGATTTTTAAACCAGACCTGCATAACTCTGTAAGCCTAAGGAAAGGAAATTGCATAAAATTTTCCAAGTTCCAAGACCCCATGAATTGCAGAAAGACTTAATTCCATTATTTCCCTCCTCGAATAAAGTTGTTGCTTGAAATCTATTGCAAGTTATTCGAGAAATTCTTGACCACTCTCAGAAACTTAAGTTGAAGGAAGGGGGGGAGGGGAGGGAGGGGGAGTCAAACTGTGTAATTTGTCGTTTATTACCAACAAGTAAATAAACAAAAACATTCATATTTAAAAGTTTTTCTCCCAAGACCCTTTATTCTACAGAGTCGGTTAGCGTAGCATGAAGCTGTCAGTGTCAACAGATAACTAGTAAAAAGACCGGAAGTACTTTGCTTTCCCGCTAAAGTGGACCAATACATTAACGCATTATAGGTAATTTAGTGTTAACAACTGGGTTGAAAACGTAAATTAGCCACCGTAAAGGGTAAAAAAGCTGACGTTTCGAGCGTTAGCCCTTCGTCAGAGCGATGACGAAGGGCTAACGCTCGAAACGTCAGCTTTTTTACCCTTTACGGTGGCTAATTTACTTTTTCAACCCAGTTGTTAACACTAAATTACCTGCTATACTCTCCCACCGACGCAGCACCACAGTTTCTTTAGAAACTTACCCCTTTATTCATTAACGCATTATGTTCGTTGCGAAAGTATAAAAATTTTATCCTTAGTTTTGTCACTTTGTTACTTATTTTTTAGAGTTCATCGAGATGATGCACAACCCTTCTGTGTCACAGGATTCCATTAAAAAAGAAACAGATCTGGTTGATGACGTGGACTAAATGTTAGTTTCAAGGTTCTGAAACCAAACGAGCAGTCTCGCAAACAATTTATCCATTGAAGAACTCAAAGATTACTCAGTGACAGTACGATATCAATAACTTTCGAAAGAAAAACTTAGGAGTTATTTTGCAACTGCTTTATTTTAATGAAATCCAAAATTCACAATGGTGCTCCAAGAGTATCTTTCGTCACGCATGACAAAGACTTTCAGCCTTCTCTTAAATCATACAACCAGTATCGATAATATGTATTGATATATGTATGATTGCCGATGAGGCCTGGAAAGCCGTAAAAGAAGTTTCAACCAAACTTGTCTGATGGATTTAGCTATTTCGTCATCGGACACATTCGAGGCTCTGACAGAATAGCTTTCTGATGTGTCGACAAATGCCACAATTGGGAGGTTACCATCTTGACGCACTTTCCCTTTCATCAACTTTGTTAACCATCATCTCCTCCAGCATTGTAACGATTGCAGGATTTCTTCGTCATTTTCTTTTTGTCCTTCTTTAATTTGTAGCGAAATAGATTTCCTCATGATCTAGATTTTATCAAGCAAAACCAAGTAAGTAATTGAAGCAAGCAACAATAAACTTGTCATAATCAATAGCAGAAAAACTGTTTAAATTCTCTTGTCTAGATTAATAATGGGAAATGACGAGACGGTGCATTTTTCTATCCATTTCCTTCCAAGATATCAGTTTAATCTAAGACTAAGGGGATGAGAGAGGGGAGGGGTGGTGGTATAATCATTCAACTTCCCGTCACTCCCGAAACCCGGTTGCTATCAGTGGTCCTCCTTTTTCTTTAATTTTTTTCCTTTTCCTTTTTTAACTTCTTTTTTTGATTACGTTGCTCTTTTTCTTTCCATCAAT